ATTATTTTTATTATTAATTTATTAATTATTTCTTTTTTTAATTATTATCATAACACTGAATTAGTTTTACTTTCTTACAATAAATAACTAAACTTTATATTATTAATAAATAAAAATATTTTATATAATTCATAGTAACTCTGTATATCACAATTACAAAATTTTATATTATATTATCTGTCTAAGCTTCGTATTAGGAATTTTACCCATGTTTGTTGGGTTTTTTATATAGAAAGTTTGTATTATTTATATTTTATTAGAGTATAAAACTAAATAAATCTTCAAATTTATTTTTATTCAATAAAATACTTAAAAAATCTTATTGAATTATCAATATAAAAATAAAAAAATAAAAATCTAGAAATCTATAATTTAATGTTTTTTAACAGTTTTTTCTTTTTTTCTACGTCTCGTTGTCTCAGAGTCATTAGAAGATAATGAAGACATAGATGCATCTGAATCATATTTTTCATTATCATCCAAAACTTCAATTACATAATCAATTTTGTCTTCTTTATAACCTTTGAATTGAATTTTTTTTCTTTTAGTTTTTTGTAATCTATTTTCTAATTTTCTTCTTACTTCGGGATATATAATTATATCGATATGTAAATCATTATCATCAATTCTATGGTCTGTTAATTCAAATTTGTTAACTTGCGAATTAAAATTATGGTTGTAATATCGAATCTCATTGCTTTCTTCGATTGAATTTTGATCTTCAATTATATTTGCGATCTGTTCTAATGTGACATCAGAGTTGAATTTGATATTGAATCGAAGATTAACAAAATCTTTATATAAGCCCTTATGAAAAATTCTTTTTACTGAACAACAAATACATTCAAAATCACATGACCTTTTACCATCATTTCTAATTTTTTTATACTCAATAATATAATCAAATCGATTATAAATTGAAGAATATTTTTTTTTGTTTTCTATCTGAAGACCACTATTTAAAGTAAAATATGGTGTATCTTCAAAATAGACATATTGATTTCGCAAAGATGTATTCAATGTAAACACATTCACAAATGAACAGAAGTTCAAATGACTGCCTTTTTTTTGAACTGTATGCGGTTTGTTATCGATTAATGTTAACAGAGTCGAAAATTCTATATTGGAATTGTAAAAATCATCATATATGAAAACTTTGTTTTCATCATATCCTAGCAAAAATAAAAATAAAATATTAGTTTATTTTTTTTTTAAATTCTTAACTATAATGTTTACCTTCGAACCAATGCTTATCATCATGCGATTTATGGTACGTGTCTGGAAAAAGTAATTGAGTGAGATAGTCTTTTCCTGTTCTAGAGTCTCCCCAAATATAAATGTTGCAAGGAGTGAAGCATCTTTTGAACGATTTCTTTTGACTATCTCGAATTGTGTTATATAATTCTTTGATTATATGTGGTGCAGTTCCTGAATTAATAAACGTGTCTATAACAATTTTATTTATCGGTTTGATTTGTTCTTTGATATCTTCAATTGTTTGTTCGTGTATTTTTTTTTGTTCATCTAGATGTTGATTAAATCTTTCTATATTATTGTTCGTTGATAATTTCCCATATTCGAATGGACCAGAATTATCGTCAACTCGTGCAAATGTTCGAAATTCTAGACAACTCTCATCACATTTGCAACAAATTTTTGTTAAATCAAAAAAATCACATCTACATCTGTTATGTTTCGAACAACGATTTCGATCTTTTTTACAGTAATTGATCGCGTCTTCAAATATTCCATTATGATAATCAATATACATTTCTTCTGATTGAAAAACACTTTTAATCGTCGAAGCTTTTTTACTATATTTATAATTTTCTAATCTCATTTGCGTCCAGAGCATGCAAAATCTTTGAATATGTTTCTTATTCGTTTTAGTGTGTTCATATTGGAAAACAATATATCGAATAATTTTTTTCTCAATATTTTCATTTATTAATTCTATATTTTTTTGCAAATTATCTAAGTTAATCCAAAAAAAAATTCCCAAATGAATAATTAAATGATATAACAAGGTTATGAAATATAATTCCAACTACTTTTTCATGGGAACAAAAATATATTATAAACATAAAAATGATATTATTAGTATTGACGATGAGGACATGTGGATTTAAATTCTAGACCAAATAAACGAAATAATCGATCTTTGTAAAAAATACAAAATGAAAAACACCAATAGATTTTTAGTATTATTTAATAGAATGAAAAATAATATACAATCATCTCGAGATCCTAACAAATATATTATCAAATTATCAAAAAAATTTATTTCTTTCCAAATCAAACCTTTAAATTTCAAATTCAGACCTGAATTAATCCATGAACTAATTAGATTAAAAACTTATTTTATACACATTTATTATCAATAAAATCAAATTTTTCACTTCAAAAAGAAGCTACCAGGCACATTTTCCAAATCCGCCGCCTACAATTTTTTTTTTTACCGAAACATCAACTATCGCAAGATCGGGGTGCTCGAGCATATGATTTTTCGGTTCCAAATTCATTGAAAATGAATTTAGAGCAGCTCAGTGGCGCTTGAACGAATTTCAATTTATTTTTTTTTTAAAAAAATATATAAAACAATTATCTATTTATTTTTTTATAATAAAAATAAAAAATGTTGATTCAAAAATTGTTAATTTTATTTTTGTTAATCAATTAAACATTTGTATTTTGTAGATATTATAATGATGATAAAGAAGAAACTAACAAAATTTCTTCAAAAGATGCAGAAATAATTTGGAAAT